CAATTCCATATGGGCTTATATTTTTTTTCAGATTCTGTAAAAGGGACATTTCCAACATGCTGTAGCTCAGAAATTGTTTTTCCAGAGTGGTAACAGTGAATTGTGAGAAAGAGTCAAATGTCTGCACAAAGGAAGTAATTTCATCCCAGAAAGCTGCATAAATTTTACAGAGTGGTAAACATTTTAAACAAAGTCTAAACCTACTGGAGCTGGACATTGGTGCTAATAGTGAAATTCCTAGCCAAGGAACTCTTCCTTAATTTCTCTTTTTTCCCCTAATTCCTATTCTTCCAGGTTTCTAAGYCCTTTGCCATTGTCTTAGATTTGTTTTGCTATAAAGATGGAAGGGAATCAATTTACTTGGCATAGAGCAGTCAGACACAAGTTCTACAACTTTCACGAGGTCTGAAGGTCACCTGCTGTCCCCAAGGATGGTTCAGCAGTGTCACAGCTGCCTGCAGTGGCTGGGGCAGAAATGTGGAGTTCACCCCAGGGGATTGGTGTTGGTGATGCCATCCCAGCAGCTCTTTGTGTGTCCTGTGTGTGGGCAGATCTGGGAACACTGCCTCACCTCAGTGAGTGGTTTGGACTTGTGGTGCAGTGGGTAAGAGTGGGTGACCATTAATTGTCCAATCTAACAGATCCTGTGGACAAAGAAGCCAGTGCCTAGAGCRTGCTGCTGCAAGTCAGGATGACGATGTCTTGAAACAATGGCAGATTTGGGGAAGTGAGCTGTTGACAYGGCTGTCTGCTCTTGAGTAAGCTGTGGAGGCGAAAATAGAGGTGCATGGCCATAAACTCACATTTTTTTTCCCCCAAAGGCCTCAGCATAAACCTGGCACTGCCAGGGTCTTGTTTAGGAATGATATGACTGACGTGTTCCCTGCCTGAGATTTGTAGAAGGCTTATTTAATTGCCACGTGTACTTACCCCCTGTTTCGCTCTTAACTATCTGCTCATTTTTCTTTCCAAGTCACTGTTATAACCAGCGATTTTAGCCAGAAGCAGCTAAAATGACAGAAATCTATAAAAGGGGTTCATGGTTGGAAGTAGAGCGCTACATGCTGAGTGTTGCCTGCCAGCGTTTTACTTAGATTTTAAGTGAGGGGGAAGGAAAGTAAGAGTTCTCTTCTTCATTTTTTAATTAATGCAGACACCATTTTCATTCTGAAGTGTCACACACTGAAAATCAAAGGAGCCTTGTATAAATAATAAGAAAAAAAAGGTTCTCCCGATTAGTAATGGAAAACATTTTCAAACAAGATCTACAGAATTAAGATAGGGCTGGCAGTTCCTCAAGGTGAAAGTCTCAAAATCATAACATAAATTATTGATTTGTCCAAGTCTCTTCTCCATAGGAGATTTACAATCTCATTTTCATAGTTGTCTTAAGAAAGGAAGAGAAAGAGATTCTTATCTAGGTCAGAATGAAAGCTTCTTCTTTTTACAAAATAATAATAAACCTCTATTTTAGATAAAGTGAATAGCTATGCTGTGAAACTATGGGCTTTCAGGTCATGTCAGGAGCAACTCCATTTGAGAACATATATTTACAGCTGTGCAAGTGTAATCAGAGCCACACTATATGACATCTCAGATGCAAGGAAGGATTGTTAAGTGATTGAATAGTAAGCTAGATATGAAAAGATGTCTGCCTTTTTTTGAATTTGGCTGATAAGAACTGTCATGAAAAGAGAAGTCCCCAAATAAAGAGCAAAAGGCAGAAAGTGAGAAGACTGGCAAATTAGAAGGGAGGAAGATTTGAACCAAATCTTACTTTTTTTTCCTCTCACCTTAGTTCTAATAATAAGTAAGGGTCTAGCAAATAAAGACCAGGAAAATCAAGTGAAAGGCTAAGTTAAAGTAATGTGGCACATAAGGGAAGGTGAGCATTTCTTGAAGAGCTTACTGTGACTGGCAGCAGCTCTCCAGGTCTGTGAAGAAGGAATTTGACTGCTGAAGAACCAAAGAAAGTGAACTCTAGGAAGAAAATAGTCATCTGTTAATCACCCCAGGCAGGAGAAGGGGGCACCATCACACACAGCAGGAGACAGAAGGTGATGAGCAGAAATGTACTGAGCAAGCAGAGGGAGTGTTTGGGCAATGTTGCTTCACCTTCTGTGGTGAGATGTAACAGACTTCAGATGAAGAGACTGAGATAAGCATGATGTTGAGGTTTAAAATGTATTATTAGAACCAAGAAAGGACCAGTGGAGCAAAATACTCCAAGAACTGGTGTTTGTCAAAGAAAAAGGAGCCTTCAAATAACTGATTGAAGCAACTCATCTTAGGTGTTTGCTGATCAGTGTCTTAAAAGAGAAAAATATGACATAKAATTTAGTTCTCATCTACTGTGGTAGCCACAAAACCCCCAAAATGTAGCCTCCAAAGACTATTTTCAATAAAGAAAAGTACGTTGTTTTATCTTGAAAGACTTTAATGTGAGCAATGTGTTAAAAATACYATAATAGAAATAAGAATCCTACCTTGGTTCTACTCTATCATTTGGGCCATGCTCCTGGTACTCTCTTGTTGAAAAATTCCTCCCCAGATGGTTACTTTTCTAGCAGAGCAACTCAAATCAGATGTAGATGCAATAGGCAGAATTAGTAAATACTTTTGTTTGCCACACAGAGCTATCAAGGGAGCAAGTGTATTGCAGAGGGCAGTATTAGATTGTCTTATACAACAGTTATCAGGCATCAGAAAGTCTCCTTTTTATTGTCAGTCTTTGAAGAAGAATAATGGCCCCTAAATATGGGTATTTGAACTGATCTTTGCAGATCTGTCTTTAATACTTGTCYTTCTCCCAGATTTCTGGTTTCAAGATTTGTTTGGTCACGTCATTGTGGATATGTTTGTAGCATGGGATGTAGTCTGGGGCTGAGAATGGAGTTCTGGAGTGTAAGACAAGGGTAACTGTATRGGGACTCTTTCTTCCATGCAATGTTGTAATAACAAGCAGGTAGTTGCTACAGGTGATAAGAACTAAGTGAATACTCACTCGAGCATYGCAGATTAAATGCTAAGATGAGATCTGTGTCAAACAGTTTAGGAACCAGCTGGACCTGTTGGGGCAGTAAATCCAAATATTTTGTTTTTGGACTTGTTGTTTCTCACAGTTCCTCAATAGCGACTGTCCTGCTTGGTGTTGAATACGCATTGAAGTTACCCTAGAAAGTATTTTGCCTGCATACACAGCTATTTCTGGGTGATCTTTCCATCAGATGTGTGCAGACTGAATTTTCATTCAAAAGCTGCTAGTGCCCCTTTAAGTGCAATCATGTTCTTCACATTCAGCTACGCTGTAATTCCATCACAAYGCCTGCAACTGCTGTTTGGACTGCAGGTGAAGCTTTACCAGGATTGTTGGGGTGCAAAAAAACATTCATATTGTGCTTTAGATTTGTCTCAAAAGAGCATCCAGCTTGCAGGTAATTCAGAAAAATAGCCTTTGTCAGCAAAAGAACAGATTTCCTCAAGGTAATTGGTCCAATTGATAAGGAAGGAGGAATAGTTTTTACCAGATCATTTTTTCTGAATATGACTAGGCATTGTCCCTTCCCAAACACTGACGTTTTCCTCTGTGGAAGAAAAATGTTCTTCTTCATGATTGCAAGGTTTTGTACATACCAAGTGGCAGTTTTGCCAGAGGACTGGCCATTGTCATATAGAAAGTAGTTCAAATCAGGAATCCCCTGGGCTGGTGGCTTTGTCTAGTGTGGAGCTCTTTCCTTTTCTTCTCATTCCACGGGTACCACTAGGTCTTGAATGGCTTGATTCTGTTCTTGTTTGTGTTGGTGTAAATCAGGAGTAACTCAGCTCCCGTCAGTGCCATTCAGGTAGGTGGGATCAGGCTCCAGCATGCAGTGTTCAATCACTGTTCTGCTAAAGGAGCTACAAACAGGTGCTCATCTGGTTATGGTTTGCATAGATCCTCTGTCTTGTAATCTTGCTATACATTGTTCTATCAGATATCCTTCCATTTTCTATTCCTTATAACAATTTCTTACTTAAACTGAAGCAGCTTTCATTTAAAGCTTTCTGTAAAGCTTTTTACAAACTGCAATTACCTAAGTTTCACAACATTCCTGCAACAGTGAGCATTAGTTAATCAGTAGGATTGTAAAGAAAAAAACAAACCCAAACAAACAAACCACGAGACATGCTAAGACAAGATTAAGTATGCACTATTAATTTAATATGCCTTCAGAATTCAGGGCAAGATTTGTTATCTAGTTTACAGGAAACTTTTGAGAGAAAAGAAAAGCAAAACCCAAGCAAATATGTTTCTTTCATATAGAWCACACTGAAGAAATTTCAGACAGAAAGCAGACTTTGTGGACAGATTGGAGTGATATTGAAAACTCATTCTGTTTAGTTACAGTCCATTTGTGGAATTTCTGCCTTTTACAGTTCTCCCTAAGGGTTTTTCTAAGGTATTTAGGAATCTATCGGGAAATCACAAGGCTTAGCTTTCTAATTAGTGTTGTGAAGCTGTGTTCATGCAGCAATTCACTTGCAAAGTGTATAACACCTCTGAAAATCCTCCTTTCTCTGCTGCCACCTTTCCTCCTGCTGAGCAGTGACTCTTAGCATGCTACACACTCTGGGCACAATTTATAGGCTGCTGTGAGGGGCTTATTTATKAAATTACCTGTGCCTTCCATGAGATAATTCCCACTTTCAGTCAGAGGCTCTTGCTTGCAGTATGGTAGTCCCTAGGTATGAGTGCAAGTAAATTTGTCCAGGCAATCC